TTTCCATGAACTGTCTGAAGCCCCCTCGTGTCCTTTATTTCCATGAACTGTCTGAAGCCCCCTCGTGTCCTTTATTTCCATGAACTGTCTGAAGCCCCCTCGTATCCTTTATTTCCATGAACTGTCTGAAGCCCCCTCGTGTCCTTTATTTCCATGAACTGTCTGAAGCCCCCTCGTGTCCTTTATTTCCATGAACCGTCTGAAGCCCCCTCGTGTCCTTTATTTTGTGTACTCTTGTTAAGCGCTGTCAAGCTGGTCCTGACTTACAGTGGTCCTGCATAGGGTTTCTGAGGAGCAGCTGGTGAGTTTCAATCACCGACCTTGTCATCGACTGGTTATCCTATAGTGCCACTCTGCTATTCCACTAAAAGACAACCTCAGGGAATGGGCTTAGTTATAGGTTTAAAGAGTATCTCAGAGAGTAGTCTCAGGGAATTTTCTGTCTTCTAGTATATTAATGATAGGTGATTGATTATTCTACTTGAATATGATACAAATGAACCCTCGGAATGGGAAATGTAGGAAACTTCACCAAGTGCTTACAAATTTAGTAAGAGATCTTTATGTAAACTTGTTTTATAAAACACACTGAATTTGAGATTTAGCAGTATACAGGTATTCTGTAGACTGTGGGTGAGAATTCAGTTACAAAATGTTCATTAAAAAATCTACAAGCTAGTATTGGCCCGTGTATTTGAATAACTTAATGAAATGAACTATGATACTTTCAGCCCATCTGACCTATTGTGTACCATTATTAGGTAGATTATTCAACTACACGTGAGAATGGTCAACATCTGGAGATGGTGGAAAGTATAACTTCAAAGTGGAAACTTTGGACCAAGTGACAGATCTTGCAAGTTTACAGCCCACAATTGCATTTAATGAAACCTACTTTATCTAGGTAGATCTGGAAAGGTAGATACCTAGACACATAGCGTCCTAAGCCAATATTCAGACTCTGAAACTGGAACTGTGCAGATGTCTTCATGCAGAAATCCTTCTCCTACAGGACCGGGGAGATGAATTCACGTACACTGGGAGCGGTGGTAAAAACCTCGCTGGGAACAAAAGGATTGGTGCCCCATCGGCTGATCAGACTCTGACAAACATGAACAGGTACTCTCCGCTGTTAGAGCTGGGAAATCAACTGAGGACTCATAAAGACTTTGGACTTCGCATAAAATCTGATGATAGGAACATCATGTAACTTAAACCACAGGGGAGAGAGAGTCTTCAAAGGATTTAAAGCAAAAATCCTGTAGCCTGATAACATACTTTTATATACGCATCCCAAGTTATTTCTTCACATGATTGCTTTTTATATACGCACCCCAAGTTATTTCTTCACATGATTGTTTTTTAAATGGATTAATCCCTGGTCTTACTTAACATTGAGACCCTTCTAAAGGAAGAGTGCACTGAAAGCACACTGACACGTCTACAGAAAAGGAGCCTTGTCTGTTTTTACGTGAAATTGAGCAGAAGGTGGCTTGTCTGCTGTACCCCAGCTCACATTGGAAGTACCATTCTACTCAGCACAGATCTGTCACTGTTAAAGAGACAGGCTTCTTTTCAGAGGAGACTCGCTGACATGCAATAGGATGATGTGCCTAAGTGAAAGAAACATCAACTCATTTGATCTAGTCAGCACGCAGGTGTTTTAGGATTTATACTAAACAAAATGTCTTTTAAGTGTTATAAAGGGAATAAGAGCACAGTGTGTCCTTGTCTGACTAGTACCCTAAAGGCCTTACAAGGACCACCTTGTACTGGCCTCCATCCTGTAGAAATAATGACATCTCTACTGGGAACAGAACATTTCATAACCTTGAAATGTTTTATTTCATAATGCATGCTAATAGCAAGCAGTATTAATAAATTAAATAACCTAGACCATCAGATAGCAATGACCACATTTAACTTGTCATGCTGATACTTCTGTGATCATTTACTAAAGTTGAAGTTTTTTTATCTTCTGTTATCCATTTAAGTGTAAATCATTCGGTTTTAAGAAGTGTCCCCTTAATTTCTGCTTACTGCGTGACATATAAAAATGATTTTGGTATGTTTTCATGGCTTGATTGCCTATCAGGTTACATAGAATCTCTGTTTTCATGTCTTCTATATTATTTCTGACAGTAGGATTATTTTACTGAACCAGCAGAGGAGACAGGTCAGATTTGCTGGTGAAAACATTCCTGAAGCACGAGTGATTTCCTTGCTATGTTTTTCTAGTGAAAAATACCCAACTCTCCTGGAAGAATGATCTTAAAAGGAGTTAGAAATATTTTGATGTGATTCTATCAGTGAAAACATATCCTGAATTTATAAAAGGGATTTTTCAAACGCTCAAATCTGAAAATTGTATTTTCCCTTTAGTTATAATAGATTATTTTGCTTCAATGAAACGTCTTTCAAACTAACCCACATTTGTAATGTCTGTGGTAGACTGAAGTTTTTGAATAATCAAAAAATGTCCCATTTGCCAAATGTTATCATTTTAGGCAACTGACAAACAGTGAAAATGTTTGATGTTACAGGGAAGATAACGAAAAGGAAATACTCTACATAAAACCATTTCTGGTTGACATATCAGAGAGATTTTACCATCCAGGCAGCTGTCATGTGTCCTGTGGGTTAGGATCCTTGAGCAGAGGTACCTGTGTGTCTTAGAAATTAGAAAGCTGAGGTGCAGGCCCTCAGGTCAGACCCATAGCCTGTTCTTCTTGGGTAGTGGATGCTCCCATTCTTTTTTGCTAAGAGGTAGTTTTGACCTCTGCTTCTTGCTTCTGAAAGAAGTCTATTTCTGGTTCTTCCCAGGTTTCCCACTTTTTAAGAAACTGAAGATGAGAAGGCTACCCTTAATTAGAGAAATTTGAGGCAACCAGTGGTTGAGTTGCAGGCAGAATAGAGGCCTGCCTAGTTTCTCCCCTTGGATTCCTTTCACATACCTGAAGTCATTCAGAATGAGAGGCCAGTGTCAGTTAGTGGAGGCGCTGCCTGTGAGCATGAAAGTACTTAGCCTAGAAGATCAAGTGTGTGTATCTCAATAAATAAGACTCAAGGCTACCCTAGACTAGATAGATGGATACGTATTTTCCTATGTCCTAGGTTTTAATGCATCTTCCTTTTTGTTAAAAAAAGATCGTAAAAAGATAGTTTTGCAAGCTTAACTCCTTGACTACAACCTGTTTTTTTTAAAAGTTGTTTTGAAAAACGAAATAACGCCATATGTTCATTTACTTTAAAAAAATATGATTATGTTCAAGAGACTTCTTTTCAGTGGGCTCATTGTAGTCTTATAGGCTGTCTTTGTTTTCTGTCTTCAACTAACGTAAAAGAACCAGACCCCGAAAAGGTTGTTTTGTGTCATAATCTGGTTTTATTAGGTAGGGTGTTTGGTTGGGGTTTTTTGTTGTTGTTGTTGTTTGGTTGGTTTTTTGTTGTTGTTGTTTTGCTTTGTTTCACTTTAGTATGTTTTCTATTCACATAAATTAGGAAGTAGATGTCTTAGGGGGGAAAATAAACAGATCCTGGTTTCTTTGGTAGGACTGGTATCCCGAGAAAGGTCTCAGAGAGTCCCAAGAAGCTTGCTGATTGGTTCCCAGTAACTGAGTGTGCAGGCAGGTTGTGTGAACCATGTTAGTCCTACCGCCAGCTCAGTGTCCCGTCCTGTCACCAGTAGAGTGGGGTCATCCCCAGCTGTCAACAGTCCTTTTTGTCATACTGTCACCATGAAGCACAGGCAACTTGGAGGCTTCGTTTTTTAGTTACATTTCTCTTATGCGGGAGGCTTTTAAAGGATATCCTCATATTAAACTTGCTCTTTATAATCTTCCAAAATTGAAGGAATCTTTGTTGTCTGGGATTATTTTTCTAGGTTTTTTTTCAATGCTTTTCTGCCAATTTATCTCACTCTCTTCAAAGATAACTTACTAAAACAGTCACTTTGCTTTAGTTTCCCAACGTCCTCCCTCCCCTCAACAATCGTTATTTAAAGCAAATTCCATGTATTTCTAGTTGTTTTCTATTATACGTGGCACAGATGTTATTACTTTCAGAAGAACCCTACAGGCTATCTGAGAACCAACCCCCTGGCTTGGGGGTGACATCAGAAAACTGATTTGTCTTCTCTGCTGGTGGGGCAAAGCATAATCCTATTATCTGGAATAATATGGAAAGAATCATAAACTCTTAACTCTCAGGTAAGGCATGATTCACCTTTTGATTGAGCTAATGATTCGATTATATCCTGCGAGAAAGATTCCTTGGTATGAAGTCTTTGTTTTCTTTTTTTTAGGGCATTGGCCCTAAACTGCGATGCTCCGTTGGATGATAAAATTGGAGCAGAGTCTCGGAATTGGAGAGCTGGTAAGCCCGTCAGAGTGATACGCAGTTTTAAAGGGAGGAAGATCAGCAAATATGCTCCTGAAGAAGGCAACCGCTACGACGGCATTTATAAGGTGCTTCATGGGGCCTGATGCTTCTCAGTGTCTCCAGGGCTGCCTCAGGAAGACCTGGGGGGGCAGGTGGGAAGGCAATGTAAGAGGTGTACAAAGGGGGCTCAGAACTTCGGTACTTTTCTTTTTAGATTTAGATGACCTTCCTAAGGGCTGAACCGTATTTGGGGCAAGATGTTTACACAGTCAGATTGTCTATGACAAAATCATTTCAATAATTGCCATGTGTAGATAGTATTCTATATTCTCTCTGAATGATGTGATTCTACTTGATTTTCAAAGCAGAACATGTTACAATATTGTACATAGGTTTGCATCGTTTGTTTTCAAACAAACAGGACCATCTATTATTATCTAGCCAGTCTGTAAAATTCTATTCATGAATATAACTTTGTTACTGCTTCAAATTCACAGGCTTCTTTAGTTATATGGGAACTATCTTAATAGAAATATGGTCCAAGCAACACTGTAGTAAATATCCAGTGTTTACTACTTTGGTTTACTACTCTTTGAGCAACCCAAGTATCTTTTGAAGTGCTGTTTTGTTCTAGCACTTAACCCACCAATGTGGAGACATGGGGAATAAGACTAAACCTGAAATCTCCAAGTCGTGCTGACGTCCTGTGATTTAGGTGGTGAAATACTGGCCGGAGATCTCAACTAGCCATGGGTTCCTGGTGTGGCGCTACCTCTTAAGAAGAGATGATGTGGAACCTGCTCCTTGGACCTCAGAAGGAATCGAGCGGTCGAGGAGGTTGTGTCTGCGTTTACAGGTTAGATTACGTTTGTCTAGTCTACTCGTTTGTTCATAGGGGTTGATACCTCTGTGCTGTCTGCTTACCTAAACACTGGGGTAACTTTCATGGCAACTGAGTGTCAGGAGTGAGGAAGGGACCCTTACCTTGTATGTGTGCGCTGACAGAGACAAAAGAGGTGGGCACATTCTGGGCATCAAACTGCCTTAGGGCCCGCGCTGTGCTTGACAAGTAAATGTAAAACCTTTTCCCTTCCACTGACTTGAGTTTAACCCTTCCTCCTCACACTTTAAGTCAATTCCAGCTTAGAGACCTTGAAGGAACATTTCTCCTGGACAGCACAGATGTACCTCTGGGAGGGAGGGGAAGGAGGGCGCTGGCTTTCTTCCCTTCTCCTTTTTCTCTCTCCCCCTCAGAGCTGCTTCCCTACCTTTGTCTTCCCTCTTCTTTTGCCTCTTGACTCATGTGTTGTTTTGTGTGCGTAGTTGATGGAGTGGCTGCTGCTACCCGTTACTGTCCACCCACTGTAGACTGTCCCTGACCCTGATTCACAGCGTGGCCATCTGCCTCACTCTGCTGCCCATAACGACTGCCCGCTGTGTCCTTCCCCTGCGGCTGCCACACTGCCTGTGGAGGGGCTGAACTGTGGGCACGTGTCTGGCCACCTGGCTAGGTGAAGTGCACCTTCCTGATGTGCAAGTGGTTTTAACACATAGAATTGATGGTTTCTGTGAAGCACACTGCTTGCTAAATAACACTTTTTTATAATGAAGCATTTTTTAAAAAAAATAAATAAAAACCTTTGATTAAATCCATTTTCAAACGGTTTTCAGATTCCACAGTTGAGCAGAGCATTGTGGTAGGTAGATGGTAATTAATAACAGGGATGAGACTGGTAAACAGGATAGCAGGTAGGCTTTTATTCCCTAAGGTCTGGCCAGCCGTGAGCTGTTAATGAATTCAACCATTCAGTGCTTTTGCCGTCTTCTCAGTACTTTCTTTCTCCCTTAATGCTGAGAGAGGAGAATGTGGGCCCTCCCCTTTTTATTAGCTTGGCCCCACAATTCTGGATCTTTCAGGTCCAGGTTCTAGTCTCCAGCTCTTCCTCAGATTCTGTGAGCCGCATCTCCTCACAGCTCCCTTTGATCTCTTAGGCCTGGAAAGGTCATTGTGTTAGAAAATGAAATACCCCATCATCAAAGCTCCATGTTTTCCACTGCATTTGGAATTTTAGTGGTCTTCTATCCTGTGAAGCCCTTGATCTTTAAATGTGTTTCCTTTATGTAGAAGTCTTTCCTTTTGGGGAAAACATTAACAGCTCCTACTCTGTCCCTTTTTTAACATTTCTCATCAGCAGCTAAGACCCCCTCCTCCACTGTGAAGCTTACCTCTGCATTGTCCTCTCCCCCATCAGTACCCAGCAGGTTATCCCTCAGATAAGGAAGGGAAGAAGACGAAAGGACAGTCCAAGAGGCAGAACAGCGAGGCAGCAAAAAGGCCTAATCCAGATGGTAGGTCATGACTCCAGGGCTCTAAGTCCCAATGGAGAGAATTGATTGAGAGACTCCTAAGAGATTAAAAGCAACGTGAAAGTGGGCTTTTGTGAGAAAGGGGAGAGTGAGGTGGGGGGAAGGGGTGGGTCATGTGTATTTTAAGAATGTCTGAGCCAAACCAGTGGCAAATGTAGGAGGCTGAACTCCAGGGTGGGTGGGTGCTGCTTTATGCAGCTGGTCTTGCTAGCGAGACCAGCTGGCGTAGTCACCAAACGCCTCCCTAGCTCTCCTGAGAGCCGCTTATAAGTCGGCCGCTCTGTCTGTGCCTCAATCTAGATGACTGTCCAAGTGCCTCCAAAGTGGCCAAAGCCTCAGATTCAGCAGACGCAGTGGAACCTTTCCAGCTGAGCCCTCAACAGCAACTCCTCATTCGAGAAGATCGTCACAACCAGAAGCTGTGGGACGAAGTGTTGGTGTCGCTCGTGGAAGGACCAGTACGTAAAGATTGTTCTTGAAGTAACATCCTGCTACTGACAAGCCACTCATAATGCAATCCTTCTAGCCAGCCCATCGTCTTTCAAAAGCCACTCCAGGCGATACTTGCATCCTTTTAGATTGGTTTTAGATTTTTCACATGTTTGTTTTTGACTTCCCAATGCCTAGTGCTAAATTATGTGGGGAAAGTCATCCTGGGGAAAGGTTTTCAGTTGTGGAACACACCCGACTGAATCTAAAATGTGTCAGGAACGTTTTTGGTTACCCAGTAAAACCAGTAGAAATTGGAATTTGTCCGAAGGCAGCAAGTTGTCAGACAGGGGAAGTGCAAATACTGTAAAACCTGTGAGAGGCAGAACTCGACGGTTTTGTCTTTTTCTGGGGCTCAAGTTTCCTGCCTTTGACAGGGTACAGTCCGGACATTTTTCTACCACTCGTTGTAGTGGAAATTTGTGTTTTCTTTGTCTAGCAGGTTTCCGTCATACACAGGTTCTGCTGTAGCTCAAAATTACCTAACAGCTTGCGTCTTCGCAGTTCTTGTCTAAGTGGTCCATGCATAGGGTAAACTAAACCAGGGCTGATTAAGTATCGTAGGTTTTGACATTTTTTTTTTCCTGGTTTTGAATGATAATAAAATGTTAACATGGAAAGAATCGCACAAAGTTAACTCGTGTGGATTTTGTGTTAAGCTGTGTTTTGCAAAAGCTTTCTTTTCAAATCCCAAAAGTTGGAGAATCCAAATATATGAAGTATCAGTTCTTTGATCACTTGTTGATTGTGACTCAAATTTAATTAAATTTAAAATTCGAATTTTCTATTTTATCAGCTATTAATGATCGTTGTATGAAACGCAACTACTTTTCTGTGCTCAGTAGCTATACGAGTGAGCACGTGTAACTTCTCTTAGAATTCTACCTTTGCTCAGTGACTTTTCTTTCCCTATGCTGGCTCTTTGATTTCTTCCTGTGTGTGAGCAAGAACCCCTCTAGTGTGTGAACTGGGACCAAGGATAGCTGTAGTCCTTTCGGTCATGACTCATGTGAGCTCATACAGTGTTGGTTTTTGTTTGAGAGATATCATAATCGTCTTTGGGAAGAATCTTATTGATACAGTATTTAAATTTTTAGAAATGGGTGAATGTTATGAAATGTCCTTTTGATTTATAGAGACATCACCATTCCCATTGGCCTATAAATTGAATACTGGTGTGGCGCTGTAGGATAAGTAATAGACTGCTAATCCCAAGGTCAGCAGTTCAAACCCATCAGCTGCTCTTGGAAGCCCTGTACAGGGTTGCTGTGAGTCAAAACTGACTCAATAGCACTTCATAACAACCACATAAAGGTGGCACATCGAGTTATCCGCAGTTCAGTGAGTTGTACATGATTGGAGAAGATAGAAGGAAAGTGAGGTAGCTCTGTAAAAGGTGGTCATTTGTTTTTTAGCTACAAGATCCCCCACCCCCCACCCCCCAGGCAGGACAAGAATCAGACTCTGGCAGGCCAGACTCCAGTAGAGCAAGTGTGGTGTATAGCACTTGCTTTCACTCTGGTTGGCGTGGACACAGGTGACCTCCAGCAGTGTCTGGCCAGGGGGCAGTAACCTTTTAGGTCCAAGAAAGCATTGCCTGCGTGCACGTTAAGTGTCCTTGTCCCTGTGGGTGGTGTCAGCTGGCCGCTGGCTCTTACATGCCTGTGTCGGACATTGTGAGTCTGCTGCCAGCGGTGACCAGACAAGGAAAGACATCATGCTTGGCAAAGTGAAAGACTTTCAAGGAGGTGAATTGACACAGTGGCAGAAGCAGTGAGCTCCAACATACCAATTATGAGGAGTTCCACAGGACTGGGTAGGGTTTCATTCTGGTGCGCACACGGTGAGTCAGAACTGACTCTATGGCACCAATAACATCAACCACTACCTGGACAAGTTTCCTGTGCTTTCTCTCCCGATAAGCCAGAAACACACTTTTCAAGCCAAACATGCAGGTAGGCGTTTGCCATTGGTGACTTTTAAATGAGCACATATTTTAAGACATACACACACTGGGATCCAGACTGCTTCCCGAGTCCCTACATGAGCTGCAGTGTTGTCTGCCTCTGCGCTGCAGGTAGTGCATGAACCCACTCACCTTGACCCTGCCCTAGGCCTTCGCACATACACTCTCTTTCAGTCTGCCCTTCCCTTTCTCTTCAGAGCCCTGCCTTCTCTGCAGGGAGGCCTTTCCCAGCCACCCCTTTTAAGATAAACAATCAAAACCAACAAACCCATCCCCTTTGATTCACACCCATGGTGAATCCGGGTGTTACAGGGTACAACTGCTCCCTCCGCAGGGTTTGCTTGATTCACACCCATGGTGAATCCAGGTGTTACAGAGTAGAACTGCTCCCACCGCAGGGTTTGCTTGATTCACCTACATGGTGAATCCGGGTGTTACAGGGTACAACTGCTCCCTCCGCAGGGTTTTCTTGATTCACCTGCATGGTGAATCCGGGTGTTACAGAGTAGAACTGCTCCCTCCGCAGGGTTTTCTTGCTTCTTCGTAACCGAAGCAGATCACCAGGCCTTTCTTCTGCAGCACCAGTGAGTGGGTTCCACTTGTCAACCTTTCTGTTAGTAATTGAGCACCACCCACCCACTTTAGGACTGCTTCTGGAATAGCTCCTCTTTATTGCTTTAATTTCCCTTCTTTTTCTCTTAGTCTAAAATTGGTGGGGTTTTGTTTTTAGTTTATGCTCCGGTAGGAATATAAATTCCAGGAAAGCAGAAATTTCACCCATCTGTAACCGCTATGCAGAGGAGTAGCTAGCACATAAGGAGCTCTGGTAGCATAGTGGTTATGAGTCAGGCTGCTGACCTCAAGGTCAGCAGCTCGAAACTACCAGCCATTCCGTGGGAGAAAGATGAGGCTTTCTGCTCCCTTAAAGATTTATAGCCTTGGAAACCATATGCAGGGCCATTGTGGGTCAGAACCGACTCCACTACCACATTATACATGGGACTCCTAGTGACGCTGTAGGTTAATGCATTGTACTGCAAGGTTGGCGGTTCAAGCGCACCAGCCACTCCTTGGAAACCCTATGCAGAGTTGCTGTGGGTTGTAACCAACTCAACAGCACTAAACAACAACAACACACCACACAGACTGACTCCTGGTAGGATCAGCACCGAACTGAAAACCTCGAGGTCAGTAGTTCAAACCCACCACCATTTGCTCCTCAGAAACCCTGTATATAGAGTCTCTGTGGGTCGGAATTGACTTGACAGCGCTTAACAGTAACGTAGAGCACACATAAAGATGCTACAGCGCCCTGGAGCTCCCTGGGAAATACCCATTGTTGACCAAGTCGTTTGTTAGAAAGCTTCCTGGTACAGAAGTTTGGGGGTTTTTCTCCCATATCTCTCCCTTAAATGGTATATTCTTTTAATATGTTACATGATATTTTGCTTATCATTCACTTGGCTTTCATAGTTCAGATTCATATGTTTCAAGACTCCTTTTGAAATAAGATCTTAGATTTCTTTGTGTACTCGAAATTCTTGAGTATTCTTTTTCTGTTAATGCACATACACACACACACACATACAAACTCCGTAAGTTACGCTCCCTTGCTGCTGAAAATAAGAGAACTGAATGGAGGGTTATCCTTTTGACTATTTGGATAAAACCACTTTACCTCCTAGTTTAAAAGGCTCGCCTGGGTGACATACAGTTGGTAGTGCTGTTGTGAAAATCATTTCTGTGAGTAAAGGTGACCTTCAGGAATATACGGAGATTTGAGTTGAGGCATATTAACTGAAAATAATCAAAGGAAGATAAATATGATGTGTTTTTGAGGTATTAGATATGCAAAATATTAGTACCTAGGGCTATATATGCATTTTTTGTTGTTGTTGTTATTAAGTGCTGTCCAGTCGGTTCTGACTCATAGTGATCCTGTATAGGGTTTCCAAGGAATGTTTGGTAACCTTGAACTGTCTAGCACATTAACCCACAGCACCACACCAGGATTCCATATATATATAAAAAAAACTTTTAAAATAATTATGCAATGCATTGAAAGACTTAATAGATAAAATGCAATCCTGATCCAAATCCTAACACTTTTCATAGAAAGGGAAAAACTAATCACCAACTTTCAATGGAAAGGAAAGAGACTCTGGATAAACAAAGCACTACTGAAGAAAATCTGAGTAATTGGTCTCAGAACTTACTATTCAGCCACGGCAGTTAATGCAGCTTGGTACTAGAACAACAGCAGACACATAGACCAATGGACCAGAATTGAGACATCAGTACCTACAGCGCTGGACAGCTGATCTTCGACAAAGGGACAAAGGCCATTCAATGGGGACAAGATAGCCTAACAAATAATGCTAGTAAAACAGGCTTTCCATTTGCAGAAGAATGATACAGGAACAGGATCCATACCTTACACCATCCAAAAAAATCTAACTTGGAATGGATCAAAGACCCTAATATACATGTGAAACCTCAAACTGTACGACGCTCTTAAAGCTCTAACATCAGTGTACAAGGAAGGGTCACTGGGAATGGGAAGAGTGCTGACACCTCACGGGAATAGCAGCCAGTGTCATGGAACAAAGTGTGTAGACATTGTTGAGTGGGAAACCAATTTGCTTGTGTGAGTTTCACCTAAAACACAACAAACTGTGTCCTGGCCTCCCACCCCCCAGATTATTCGAGTGTTGTAACAATGAAAGGTTGACTAAACTTTGCACGTTCGTTTAGTCGGAATACTGTCTTCCGTTTTGAAATAAACAAGAGACTGCCCATGATTTTTTGCTAAGTGAACAATAGTCATTGCCATTAGAATGTGAGATGAGATTAGGGTGACTTTCACCAGATATTTTGACTTTGTGATCTTTCCGACCCAACCCTAAGATTTAGAACCTATTGTGTACACTTTAGGACATAGGAGCCCTTCAGTGTGTTACATAAGTTTACTTGTCTTGGGTAATTGCAGTCACTACTTGATGAAATGGAGTTCTGGTGTGGCACTGTACTATAACCACTGGACTGCTCACCACAAACCCATGAGCTGCTTCTTGGAAATCCTATAATACAGAGTCACTATGAGTCAGAACCAATGTGACGATGCTTACCAACAACTGATTAAATGTGACTTCAGACCTTTTATCACTTAGCATTTTACTAGTATATTTGAATTGCAACCTTTTTGTCTTCCCCTTGGGTCCCATTCTAGAATTTTCTAAAAAAGTTGGAGCAATCTTTTATGTGTGTCTGCTGCCAGGAGCTAGTTTACCAGCCTGTGACGACAGAGTGCCTCCACAATGTCTGTAAAGTAAGTAGACCTCCTTTCTCATTTACCCTTGATGTGTCAGAAGGCTCACTAGCTACTAAACCCACGTGTAGCGTAGCACGTGAAGTAGGATAAAACCTGCAAAAGCTGGAACCTCTGTCAGCAATGGAAAACGCCAATGCGTTCCGCTAAAACGAGTGCTGGACAGGTGGTGACGCTGCACCCAGTAAACGGCAGAACCCTTGTGAACCAGAAAAACCAGGCGACCCCATCACATTCCACCTGTTCCTGGGGTCTCCATTATCATCCACAAAGCCGAATCATCATGAATCCTTGCTAGCATTTGGTTACATCTTGGTGATCCGTGCATGTTTGATTTCAGTAGTAGCAGTGATTCAAATATTTATAGGTTGAAGTGTTCTCCCATGTTCAGAGGGGTTTTATACTTTCGAGTACATATATGTTTCATACATTTGAGCTCAGATTAGAATGGTTCCATGCACTTAGAGAATCTAAAGCAGTCTATCTGGCAGCAAGCCCAGATAAATTGACTTTATATCATCAGTGGGAAATAAAGGAAAATCTGTGTTTTTGTCAAACTGACTCTGGGATCTGGCTCTCCTGTTTGGTGGGTATGTGCCCTGACCACACTTGTAGACTTCTTTGTCTTTTGAAAACTGGAAACAAGCCTTCCAAGTACACCTGTTCTTCCAGTCACTGTGAGTTAGAATCAATTGGATGGCAGTGGGTGGGTTCGGATACCATCACAAGGAGCCCTGGTAGAGCAGTGGTTAAGTGCTTAGCTGCTAACTGTATGGAGGTCGCCAGTTTCAAACTCCCAGCTGCTGATTCTGTAAGAGGAGGTCTCGGCTGGGAGAGCTCTGGGTTTCCTAGTGTGAACTCAGCCCTTACCACCTCTCACCCGTCACCCCTTGAGTTGCCTCCCAGAAGCTCATGTTGTTGAGTATCTCTCTGCTGCTTCACCCTCTGATGAAATGGTGTTTTGTTGTGTTTTATTTTTGCCTTAGGATTGCTTGCAGCGCTCTTTTAAGGCCCAAGTGTTCTCCTGCCCCGCCTGCCGCCATGACCTAGGCCAGAGTTACATCATGATTCCCAATGAGAACCTTCAGACTCTTCTTGACCTTTTCTTCCCTGGCTATAGCAAAGGACGGTGATCTGTCCACGACTGCATTGTGGCTCCTGGTGGTGTTCCGGACACTCAAGAGAATCTGCAGTGGGTGGGGAGGGGGAAGCGACGGTGGCCCCATTTCCCCCGTTCTGAAGCAGCTGATCCTCTTTGCCACCTAGCCATCATCTTGTGGGTGTAGTAAGAGGCCCGTCTCTCAGCAACTGTCTCTTCAATATCAAAGGTAGTTCCTGCCAGTAACAACTAGTTCTAATGCCTACAAGTCCAGGCCTCAGCCCCCGTTGATATCCAACTTATGATTTCTTTTGCAACTACCTCAGGACAGAAAAGGTGTGTGGGGATTTTTAAAAATCATAGAATAATTAGTCAAATGAAATTTTAGCTACTCACTGCCTCCCAGATATTAGTTGTGCCTGGTTCGTGGAATCTGATGACACAAAAGGAAATGGCGCATGACAGTTGGCATGAACGCAGCCTGCTTCTCTGTTGCGCGTAGTCTTTTTTTTTGTTTTTTTTTTTTTTTAAATCTCTCCTTTCAGTACATTGTGCATTTTGCAAGGACCGCTCTGTTCTCTTAGCGCCTTTGGTGAGCTCCATTGTGCTTTTTCCTCATGGTTTATGCAAGTTGACTACTAATGACTGATGAGGACACGATGCGTTGTTGCTGCGTTAGTGTGATGTGTGTGGTTTTGCACTTACAAGAGGTGTTCTGATTCTCTGGCTGTCAGTGCTCGTGGGAGGCCACAGAGCCAGCCTCCCCCCTGGCTTGACATCTGCAGAGCCTGGTGGGCGGATAGTACTGACCTCCGAGAGGGTTGGCATTGCTTCATACTGTGATCCTACATTTGATATTCACTATATTCCCCAGAGTATACCTGAATAAATATTTTATGTCCAGAAAAACAGCTCATCTTCGTCCCTTTTTTGTTTTGTTTGACATTTCTCTGGCGTATACCATGAGTTTTTAGAAATTCGTTATTTCCCATGTCTGTTCGTTGTACAGTTTGGTGGACACAGACATTTTATAGCGTTTTTACTTCTGATCTTGGTAATGAGAATGAGTCTTCAGCATTAGCTAAGGAAAATTTCCATCCTGGCTGTAATTCTTTTCTTTTTTTGTTTGTTTCATTTTCTAAATGAGATTTTGTTTGTTTGTTTCAAAATAAGAACCGAGTGACTATTCTGTTACCTGAAACAACTTTTAAGTTCTTGTTCCATTTTAACCCTCATCAGTGCTGCCTTGTTATTTCACCGAGCTGAAACTATTAAGACACGGTGTTACGGTCTTCAAAATGAGATCACCATGTTTTCATCCGAGAAAAGTCTTAGTGTGATGAATAGTCTTCCTGCCGCTGAACTCAGCCACTCATACCGTGAGAGGCAACATTTATAGACTGTTGGCTGTGTGCCGTGCCGCTCACATGTCTGTTTGTGGGAGTGTTCATTTAATACTGCTGACAACCCTAAGGAGCCCTGGGGGTGCTATAGGCTAAGTGCTGGGCCTACTAACCACAAGGTCAGCAGTTCAAACCCACTAGCTGCTGTGCAGAAGAAAGAGGAGGCTGTGTGCTCCCGTAAAGACTGGCAGTCTAGGAAACTAAACAAGGTTACTGTGAGTCAGAACCACCTTAACAGCTCTGGGCTTGGGTGTAGCGTAGTGGTTACAAGTCGGGCTGCTAACTTCAAGGTCAGCAGTTCAAAACTACCAGCTGCTCCATGGGAGAAAGATGGGGCTTTCTGTTCCCATAAAGATTTACAGCCTCGGAAATACTACACAGGGTTGCTGTGAGTTGGAACTGATTCCACAGCACACCACCACCACCACAGAATCAACTTGGAAGCCATGGGTTTGGGTTTGGATAGCAGCCAAATGATCCCATCTTAAAGAGGAACAGCAGAGGCCCAGAAAGCTGATGTCTGTAGGCAGATGTAGCTGACTCTGAGCTGCTTGCTGCTCTTCCCTTTGAGTAGAGTAGAGAGACCCAGTGGAGACTCATTTCAGTGCTCCTCCTGCATGCTGACTCTGCGTCCAGTTCTGGGAAATCTCTGGCCCGCTGCCTGGGCAGCCATTTCACCTTAGGCTAGTAGCAGATGTTGGAATTCACTTTTATTTTGAAGAATCAGATTTAAATAGGACCTTCTTGGGTTGGAGGTAAACCATTAAATTGCTTCATCGAGCACTATATTCCGTTCACCTTTGGCCACATCCCTGCCTGAAGGGTGGGGATGATAATTCAGATTTAATTCAACCACTTTTAATAGCAAGCTCTTGATACCCACCCACCATTCTACGGATTGCCGCAACTGCTCTCATCTCACATGGTTTAGAGACGAAGTCAAGCATAACTGTTTACAGGTGTCAAGAACGGGCCAAAGCTCAGCGTGTGTTATGTTGCTTGTTTTTAAGATTTCAAAATTTTTCCATAAATATTTCAGTTTGTGTCTCTAAAAGATATTTTTTAAAAAGCAGGACACCACCGTTTGTCACACATGTTTTCTTTAAATGTAACAATTTCTTTATATCCGATACCTAGTAAATGTCCAAATCTCCTTTATCTCAAATGTCAGAAGTGGTGATTTTTTTTTCAGTTGGTTAGTTTGAATCAGGATTCAGATAAGGACCTCACATTGTGATTGATTGATGCCTCTGAAGAGCTTTTGGTCTGTACATATCCTATACCCCACCATCTTTTTTTTCCCTGTCTTTTAATTTTCACACTTTGCATAAAATAAGGTTGTTTTGTGTAGACTGATTACGACTCTGTGGTGTTAGCTTAACATGTTTCTCTTTATTTTCTGTGAACTGGTAGCTAGAAGTAAGCACGGCCCACTTTCAGATTTGATTTTTTTTCTCCCCCGCAGAACTTCTCTGCAGGCAGTGTGTTCTGTGCCTGGTGTCTCTTAGGCGGAGTGGGGACAGATGCGCTTTTCACTGGATTCTCTTTAGGAGGCACACTTTTAGTTACGCTGACATGCTCGGTCACTGTAATGTGCATAGGATTTCTTCCTCAGTAAAAGTAAAGACCATGCATTGTTGGATGCTTCTCCTTAGGAAAGGCAGAGCCTCTGCTTAGAGAACTTATTTCTGAGTCAGTGGTTCTTAAAGCAAATATGTGCATGCTAGTAGGTTCAAGGATATTAGGGAACTTTGGGAAGGTGGCAATCTAAGCAGACCCCTATTTTGATAGTTTGACTCACAGAAAGGTACCCCACCTGTATACTTAAAAGCTGTGGGTTTCAGCATATGCCCTATTTAGGAGAGTCGGGAAGAGCTCTTCTGTGATTTCACCCTCTGTCCATGAGAGGCCTCGCCTTTCCTCACTCTTCTTTAGAACACCCATCAAGATAGGAGCGTTCACGACAGTCTACCCAATTTTAGGGGATTGAGCCTAACAGCCCACTCACCACCAGCTTACTTTGGAGAGAATCATCCTTGCTTGCCACATCCAGACCTTCACAATTCCTAAAGGAATTGATATTTATTAACTTGGACTACTAAGAGCCTACACACAAGTTGGGGAGAGAATGTTGAAACAGCAGTCACTGGACATATGAAATCAAGAGCAAGCTAGAGGGACAGCAGGTCATATGACTGCAATGAAAACAATGAGGGAAAGAATATGAAGACTTGTCGAGGTATCCTGAAGTATGAATGGCATTGCATTGGTAGAGCAAGAGCCAGCTGCTATGGAAGAGGAGTAATTTGGGATTAAAATTCTTGGAACTACACATGATTATTCAAAAAACATGCAACAGCTAAAACAATGGCCACTGCCCAAAGTTGAATGTATTGCTGAGTAATCCGTTCCATATGGAATTGCCACAATTTCTTTATCCATCCACCTGCTGATGGATATTTTGGTTGTTTTCAGGTTTTTGCTATTATGAATAAAGCTACTGTGAATCTTTGTGTGTAAATCTTTGGAAAACAGTTTGACGATTTCTTATAAAATTAAATGTGCACTTACCGTAACATTTCCCTTGTAGTTATTTACTCAGGAAAAATGAAGACACATATCGTGAGTCATTCATGCTAGTTTACATAAATTTACATCCAGCAGTGTATGAGAGTTTTCTGATCACCCTGTATCCTCACCAGCAAATATTATCTTTTTTTTTTTTTTTAATGACATTTTAAACCCATCGCAGAGGATGGCATCTCTTCCTGTAGGAGACAGGCATCCATGAACTATTTGGTGATAAGAAACACGGACCAAATACCATTCACTGAGGGTTTCTCACTCTCAAGTGCACATTTAAGACTCCATAACATTTTCCCCTTCCAGGAGACCAGCAGTAGTTCAGGTGGGGCCTCTTCCATCTCTGGTCTCACTCAGAGTGAGAACCATACAGAACAAAAAAGCCCAAGCCACCTTGCAGTGGATGTGCAGCATGAGTGAGAAAACATGGTTATGTCTGAGATTTGGCCATGGTTAACACAGCATGACGAAGCTTGTCCTCTAACTAAATTCCTCAGCCTACCTGATGTGGCGCTGTGGGTCAATACACTGAACTGCAAGTTTGGTGGTTCAAATTAACCAGCGACTCCTCAGAAACCCTATACAGGGTCACTATGAGTTGGAACCAACGCGACAGCACCAGTTGATATGGACTCCTGGTGTGGCGCTGTAGGATAAGCACTCCTTGTAAACTCTACAGGGTCACTGAGTCCTAACGTCTGAACAGTCCGTCGAGTCGGATCCGACCCATAGCTACTCTATACAGGGTTTGCTAGGAGCGACTGGTGAGCTTGAACCGCCGACCTTGCAGTTCAGACGGCTTTACAGTCTGGCGCAGTAGTAACCCACAGCGCCGCACCAGGACTCCAGATACAGAATAGAATTTGTTAATTGGTGTTTTCATGAATTTGGGGACTAGAACTTTATTGATAGTCTTGATGTAAATTCCACATTTTAAATGATTTCCTATTTGAATATCCAAGTCATTGGCGAGGTGTTGATAAATTGGTCAATACTCTAGCCCCGAGTGGTCACCACCTCCTACCAAGTCTATCCACGGTGGTGTGAT